CAGCCCCCTCCTCGCAGCCACGGCTGGAGTGACTGGGCTCCACGGAGGTATAAAAATAACCAGTGTGCTCTTCTAACTCCCTAACTTACTTTAAAAGCGATTTGTATATAGGCGTGTTAGTACACACGCATGCATACATACAGTTATATATTTATGTTTACAGATATACATATATAAATATATATATACACACACACGTTGCCTCTGTCAAACACCTAAAAGACAACATTTTGTTCCTGCTAATTAAGAGAGTTAATTCAGAGAGTTTAAAGAATACACTCTGCATAAATACAAACTGATATATGCACAGGCATGTGATATATATTCTTAATATATATGCGTGTTGCCTCTATCAAACAAGATAGGCAAAATCTTGTTCCTGTTTATTAAGAGAGTTAAATGCTCTTAACTTAGAGAGTTAAAAGAGCACACTGTATAAATATGTGTTTATGTACATATATATACATTCACGTATCTATGTTTATGCATATTTGTAAATAAATAAATGCACACACACACACACACACACACACACACACACACACAGAGCCTGTATCAAACATGATTGGCAAAATCCTGCTCCTGTGTAGGCAATGGGAATTTATCATTTGTTTCAGTGAGGCCGGATAATGTTGAGCGCTGGCTCCCTCAGGATCACAGCCATGATTTACTCTTGACTTCACCACTTAGGAGTAATATGGTATTCCAAAGCTCAAACCAATAAAACCTTTATAGCACACCACTCTGCACATCTTTATAGCAAACCATATATTTTATGACAGTATATGACTTAAAGTAAAACGAAAGCCAATAGCAAGAGCTCTCCTTTTTTCTGTATGTGGTGAAAAGTAGCCAATACCTGCCATTTCTGGAGGGAGTTAAAGCTAATGCTCTGAATCAATTAGCTGAATATCTGCGGATGTCATTTACCCTCACAATCTGAAAACAGGGTGATAAGCCTATGATTTTAATGATAAATTTTAAAATGTAACACCAATAAAAGGTTTTTCTGAATTTCATCTACAAGTCAATTTGGAGAACACATTTGAATTTCTTACCAATATTCAAACTGTCTTACCCTTTAGCTGCATACAATATCTTCAGAAGTCATGTTATTTATTATATTAGGTTCTCTGAAATAAGAGCAACAGCTGAACATTATCAGTTCTGAGGAAATTCCCCTTAAATGGAGAAAAAAAAAAGATGCAAGAAGAAAAAGGCTCTTTGATTCCTGAAAATATCTATCAGAGCACTATCATTGGAAAAAAAATCCAGCCTTTCAGTGAAGGAGACAGCAACCTCTCTCACATGCAAGCCAAACTCTAAATCATAAATTTAACTCTGCCTATAATCATGTGGTCTGTAATTAAACTTTAATGTTCAATTTTATGATCCTTCCTTCAGGTGAAAAAAATCTTTCTGAAAAAATATGATTATGAATGTTTCAGTACATGGACGTCCTAAGAACATTGATATAGATCCTCTCTAGTTATCTAATCTGTGGCTTCAGGATATTACACTGGTGTGAGCATTATCTTCAATAAATGTCAATGAAAAAGTAATGGTAAGAGCAAGCTGACCAAAGCTACTGGAAGTACAACTATTTATATGCTGTGCCATGGTCTCTCATTCTTTAACCCCACCTCATAATCCCCCTCTGTGCTGGGAAAGTCCTGCTATATCCGTGCCACAGTCACAAAAGAAATACGTTTTAGAGCATGAAAATGGACCATCATCTGATTTCCCAGCAGGTATACTAGCCACTAGATCAGCCTTTGGAAATCTTGAACAACTGGCTGGGATTTTTTGGCTTCTCACAAAAGGGAAAAAGAAGCCTTTGGGTGGAAGAGTTCTAACGTGTACAAAATGTGGAAGGACCCTTCTCATGGAAAACGTTCTTCTGTGCTGTCTTACTGTCCTTTTTTGAAGAACTCAGCTTCTATGTATTGGTAAGGCCAGAGAGACTCTTTGTTGCCCAGGTCATGTCTTTACAGTCACAAGTTTCTCCCAGCCTCTGACACGGGAATATGGTCCCTTCCTCTGGGCATCATCAACACCTTTCACCATTCATATTTGGCATATTTGCCATCATTTGTCCCCGTAGCTTCCCCCTCTGCAAAAAGAAACCAGAAGGGCACAAAGAACAGGAATCTTTCTAGCTCCGATATTGCTGTGGGTCTGACTTTTTTCTTTTTTAATTTTCTTTTTCTTTTTCTTTTTTAATTTTCTTTTTCTTTCTTTCTCTTTTTTCTCAAAAAAGAGAAGCTGGTAAACAGGACGAAAAACAAAATGAGGGAATGACATCATGAATCCTGAGACGGGTGACTTACATGGCAGTGATAAGAAGGGAAATAACAAGTAAATACATTAACAAAGGGACGAAAGGAATGGGAGACTGAACAAAAATTGGAATGGGCAACAATTACTAGAATTCATCTTTTTTATTGCTAAACCAAAATAGATAAAAGTATCTATTTTATAGCTAGATTTTATAGATTAAAATATCCAGCTTTTGGATGGGATTTCCCTTGTTATATAATATGACCCAGCAGGGAACTGGACCATATTTGACTTCAATGCTCATTTGAACTAGACACGGTAAAGCATATAAAATGCTAAAGCTATTGCAGGGCGCCGTACAGTATTTGCAGCACATGCTGCTTTTCATTGCCACCAGTCCCATGCAGTTGAAGCTCTACCTTTTCAGGGCCCACAGGAGTCCAAGGGTTTTACCACCGGTGGAAGACCTCGAAACCCAGGGGGAGATTTATCTGAGAGAGAAGAGTGGGGTATGGTATTCCCATTAGCTCTGCTTCACCCAGGTCGTGCGACATGGTAGCGATGGTGTCGGCTGTGCACCTTTGCTCCTCTCCACCACCACTCGCACAGCACCAGACTCTGCTGCTATCCTCACAATAAACATGATGGCACCGCCATATGGAGAAAAATATATCCAAGCCTTGAAGCTACCTGGGGAGGGAAGGGCAGGTGTCCTTTTAGCCCGAGGTGGGAGCGATAGCGGTGATGTGCAGGTGTGTCCCTGGCGCCACGATGTCTCGTCATGGCTCTGCCCCTGACAGCTCAATGCATCTGCTCTTACTTGGAACAATTTTGTGTCAGGTCACTCTGCACCCTTTCAATGATAGCACAAACAGAAAGCACGCACACCGCACTTGCCCGACTGCAAATGATCCATAGAGGGCTTTCCCACAATTCACCCACCAATGCTCCAGTGCCCGCTTTGTGCCATGCCGTCTGCGTCCACGGGTACTGTCATCTCTTTAATTCTAGTCATCAGCCTTGTGTGCTTTACAGGATCCCGTGCTAACAGCATTTCATGTGACAAAGTGCATGCTATTTTATACATCAAAATGGTAACTCACATAATTCACTTTGTTTATTTTTTAATCCATTTGTTGATTGCTACTTCTAATTACTACCAGAGCAAGGAACTGTTTAGGCTACGTACAGCACACTGTTTGGGAAAGAAAGCTGTTGGTAGTCATAGTAAGCGGGCTTGCAGTTTTTAGGGTAGTTAATACGGATGGTCTGAACCATCACAAATTATGACAGTTTAGTTTTATCTTCATTGTAGTAGGCATTGTAACCTTTTCGTTGTAGACAACACTTGGAGTTGCAGGGTTTTATGTCATCAGTTAATATTAATCCTGCTTTATCTATATAGTAGGAAAAGATTATCCTTATTATCATTGTGATAACTCTGCTTTCACAATGAAGAATATATATGTACTGATTTAAACAAATGAGAATTTTCAATCTTTCATAAATTCAATCCCATTTTTAGGGACTCTCTAAAAATCATGTGATCTGTAATCATATTTGCTTGTTTAATTTTCTGACCTTTCCTTGATTTCAGGGAAACTTTTCTGCAAAATACTATTGTGGAAGTTTCAACAAATGACTCTCCTAGGAAAAATATTATAGCTGCTCACTAGTTACATGATCAAAAATAAATATGATGGATAAAATATTTTTTCATGAATATATTAATGGAAATTTATCCATGATTTTCACCGATGTTTTGCTTTGATAGACATTTTCAGCAAATGGAGAAAAATGACTTTCAACTACTGACATTTTATTTTGGTGGGGAAATTATAATGCAGAGGAGCTTTTAAGTTGCTTACTGCTTGAATTTTCTCTGACATAGTCCAGAGAGCAGTATTGCAAGAACTGTGTTCCTGGTTTAGAAGAAAGCTATAAATGGCATTCTTCTTCCTAGCGACTTCTCTAAAAGGGACACAAAACTTTTCTTCAAATTTCCCCTAAAAGTGTAGTCCAGGAGACTTAAACACGGACCATCTCACTAAAATAAATGTGTTACTGAAATAAATTCATTAAAAATTGTAGCATTTCCACTAGAAAATAGAAGAAAGTTCTCAGGTTGCCTCAAGTAAAAAGGTAGTTCTTATTCAACATCAGCAGCTGCATGGGAATCACAGCAATACAGGGGACATGTGCTTGGGATACATGTAACTAATATGTTCAAAGAGTTACGGGAAACAGATAGCAAAGAGTTGAGATATATTTTTCACTCATTTAAAAATACCTCCTTCAATGCAGATTTGATGATTAGAAACTATAACCATGCTTGATTGACTGTTGTTTATAATTTGAAGGGGGGAGTTGGTCATTCACCTCGCACATTATTTTAACAAACATTTCTGAAAATATTTCTTCCCTTAGAGGTTAGATGCTCTTTATTAGGACTATGCAGTCGTGGCCTTGATCATGTACCTTTGTCTCTAAATCCATTAATTAGTGAAAGAATATCTCAGCTATCAAGTGATTTATTATATGAAATCAATAGCCCGTTGAAGATGTCTTTTTCCACAGACTTTTCCAGGGCTGCCTAGCAACCTTCACCATAAACCACATCCACTAGAGGTATTATATCTCCATAATATAGCTACTTTAATGGCAGCAATTTAGTTGCGCAGATCTGAACTTTAGTAAACCGTTTTATGGCCCTTGCCTTGTTAACTGTTGTGCCCACACAACTTTCGTTTTAAATCGGAAAGGCCTGAGAATCAGGACATAGGTACTGTCGGCTGCCTAATCTGGCAGAGTTCAAGGAGTGACAGAAGTAGAAGACTGCATGATAACAGGTGCACAGCATGAAGGAAGGAGCTATCCTTTTAGTTTTCCGGAGCAGCCCCATGAATGACCCCAGCAGCAAAGTTGAGCTTGAGGCTGGGGTGCAGCGTGGCGATGGCTAGCACTGAATTCAGAGGGACTAATTTGGTTTTTCAAGCATCTTCTGGGGCTGCACTCAGAAGCTGCACTGCCAAAACACCATTCAGAGTAATCCTGGTGCTGAGCCCTGAGGGAGCAGCATACCGCTCTTTCTGCGGGTTATGTGCAGCCACCTCCCCAGAGTAACAGCTGGGCTGGGAGGCAGAGCAATTGCACCTGCATGAAGACTTTCCCAATGACTTCTTCTAAGGCCTTCCAAAGCCATGTTGCATGTACACAGACACAGGTCAAGGTGAGCAAGCAGCTCTAATAGGTTCAGCCAGGAAGCTCTCGGAGCACATTTTATGCCTGAAGTATCAAATAACAGAGAGGTTTTTGCAATGTTGCAGGGCGTCGGAATTAAATACCATCCAGAAGGACAAAGGGACCCACCGTCAGCTATTACAGGAGGACTAAGCAGTGTCTTTGTTTCCAGATGGACGGTTATATCCCAGGAAGGCTAATAACCCATTAAGTTCATTTTTGCCATTCCATGAATTATGAGTGCACTCATTCTGTTCAGAGCAACACAGGCAAAATCATGAGGAGCTGACTGGAGGGGTTTCGTGCTGTTTTTCCTTTCCTTCATTATTTATGTTCCAGGGGTCACCCTACCACTGGAAAATGACTTTGTTGGGTGCACTGGCCAGAAATTCAGAACCAGAGATGACAAACTGGTCTCCATCCCTTAAGGATTAGAACGATCTCATTGTTTATTAGCTAAGCGACATGTTTAATGTTTAAACCACAAATTCCTTCTTTAGCTTATTCTGCACCAGGACACTTAGGCGTTGAATGATTTTTGAGACCGTGTACCCACACTGGGTGTCAAAAATAGCCACTGTTCCTAAGCTCGGTACCTGTCACTGCCAAGAATGTAGAAATAAGTATTTAAATGTTTAACTTCTTCTTTTTTGCAAAAAAAGGTTAATGACTAAGAGAATGCCTCCTGTTTCAGCCGTACAATGGCATTATAACAGACAATGAGAAATTTCCGTGCTTTTAGAACAGACTTTGGTATATTTATAAGCATATGTTTAAATGCTTGCCTATGAGTTCAGAGTTGGACTTGGTAACTGAGCAGACTGCTTTAGTGCTAGAACCTATAACTATAACTCTGGCAAATTTTAGTGGATAGGGGCCTAAACACTGCACAGGGCAAGATATAGGCTGATCCAGTCCTAGATTCCCAGGAGGCTCTCTGCTAAGCTACATTTCCCACTCCCTCTTTATCATTAGATTAATGGCGTAAGTTTGCTGAACAAATGGTCCTTTTAAAAATGCTAAGTTGTTTTTTTCTGAAGAAAATGTCATTAAAAAAGCTACATTATTTTTCAAGCAGTTCTGAAGCAAGCAAACACGTTTCCAAGACGTGTTCCGTTCTGAGACAAATCAGCTGCCACCTTATTCCCAGATTCTCCTTTAATCTCTGTGCTTGTATTCAGTTTACAAGCACAGTCTAAAATCTGATTCCACCTTCACTGACACGAGCTGTTTTGTACCAGCACCGCAGGTAAGATTGAGGCCCTTAATAAGTGCTTTTATAGGAGGACTCAGATTGTCAAAGGCATTTAGAAACATCTATTGGAGTGCCTTATAGGATATCATCCTGTAGTAAATGTTGCAGTTCGGTTTATAACCTGTAGCTGAAGTTGCTATGCGTATATGGAAAGTACAAGGAGTTTATTCTGTAGCCCCTTTCTAACCTGCCCCCTTGTTTCTGATTCCCTCTCGCTGTCCCCTTTATACCAGGGGGTACCTGTGTACCTGTGAAGTACAAATACACACAGACTGTGCTCGCTCCATCGGAGCTGAGCAGCACTGGTCATCATTGTGCCAATGGGAACTGTCCTGCAGCAATTGCATAACAAAAATAACTTGTATCCTCCACAGCCCTCGAAGCTGACTCCCTATCTTGGCTGATGCTATATGTATCCCATGGAAGCCAAGGAAACGGCTTCCTGTACGGCTGAAGCAGAAGCAGCCCAAATAGGTGTTTTGCAGGTTGTGTCTGAGTTGTACTAAAAGGCAGTTTGTGAATTGCTGCCTTTCTTAGCCAAGGAATTTACTGCCTGTGTACTAATACAGTGTATGCAGAGGTTATATGGTGAGCAGATGTTTTTTAGAGAAACTGGAAAACTAGAGGAGGTTATATTTTGTGTATACTAGCTATAACTTTCTCTTAGGGTACAGAAATGCATATTTGAAGCTCTGATGAATTCCTATTTCTTTTCAGTGACTTAAGTTTGTTTGTGTCTTGCTTATCTCTGCCATTTTTTCTTTACTTCTTATTTCTCTTTATCCAATCTACTTGCTGAAGTTAATTAGCCATTACTTACAACTCTGACGTCATTGTGTTTTCATTGCAGAGCATTAATAATCCCTTGCAAAATGTTTAAATGTTGATCTCAGCTAATTGGTTGAATGAGCAGTAGACAGTAGGTGTGAACACAGGTTTTCCACATGACTTGGCGGGAGTTTGTCTTTAAGTTTCTTCCAGAATGTTACATACACCTCGTTTTCAAAAAAATTAACCAGTTTAATATTTTTCCAAGGTCATATGTAAAAATAAACTTTC